CTTCCCCCCTCCTCCCGAAATCCCAATAGACGCCAAAAAAAAAAAAAGTTTAAATAATTAGCACCACGTTAAATAATTTTAATTGCTTGTTATATCCTAAAGCCACGACGATAAAATCGAACGAAAAAAAAATATAACGAGATGTAACCTCATTGATTAGTTTATGAAAATAGGTGCCTTACGGGAGCTCTTACTGTTATCGATACCGCTTTCGTTCGATATATCGAAACGAGAAGAGAGAGAGAGAATAAGGTATTTTATGCTTACTTTAAGGCACACACACGGAGGAAACGAGAATAATTTTTTAAATACGATTTCCAACCAATACAATAAAGAGAAAATAAAATATCCTTACCTGAGGGAGTTTAAATACATTTTCCAATAATAGTTGAATGAAGTTGTCATCGCTTTAGTATAACAAACAAACAAACAAACAAAACAACGGGCGTTGTTGGTAACTTTTTCTTTTTTTTCTTAATAGTAAAAAATTGGAATACGATCGACCAAACGATTTGTTATGATCAACAACGACTGAACCTGAAAAAAATGAATTATTATTATTATTATTATTATTATTATTATTATTATTATTATTAAGGGAAAAACCAAATAAAGACCTGTTTTGTTATAAATAATGTCCGAATTGAAAACATAAGGTTAACGAAAAATATGTCAAAACGATGATGCACGATTCGTAGTAGTATTGTTCCAATTAACTGGTTAACTAAATGAGTATCTCATATAGCTACTCGCCTCCTCCTTCCTCCCACCCTCCCCTCCCCCCACAAAATTATTATTATTATTTATTTATTTATTTAAAAATTTAAAAAAAAAAAATTGAAATATTAGTCGTCGGATCCCAACCGTCTTCTTTTCTCTCTGTATTTTTCAGTTATTTATTTATTTATTTTTTTTGGGAAGGGGAATGGGGGGGGGGGGTTTAACAAGAGCAAAATTTTTTAACCGCGTTTAAAAAGAAAAAAAAAAAAACATTTAAATTAAAACATTGTCGTAACATTGTTTATATAATTTTTTTTTTTTTTTTAAAGTAATAAATAATAATCTGCGGGACACCGAGAGAGAGAGAGAGAGAGAGAGAAAAAAACATTTTCGAGCAACAATTTTTTTTTTTTGTTTAAACATTTTTGATTTATTTTTTTATATATAAAAAAAATAATTTTAAAAAAATTTTCGATTCGAAAACGAATTAAAATCTCTTGAATTTATTCACAGTGTGAAAGTTTTAATAATAATAATAATAATAATAATAATAATAATAATAATAATAATAATAATAATAATAATAATAATAATAATAATAATAATAATAATAATAATAATTAAAACGATTTAACTTACTAAACATTAAAAAAAATTCAATATAAACTGACGCACAAAAATTATAAAAAATAATTTTAATATGTTAAAATAAATTATTATTATTATTATTATTTGAAATATGTCT